CATTACCCATGGTCATGAACAATTGCCATGGCAGGAGTGTCACCAGCTTCTACGCACCAACAGCCCTCTGTCCCTGCATGCCGGACTGATGGAGAAAAGCCTTGTTTGGATTTGCTGACATTTTGCTTACGCCTTGACTCCTCATGACGCCAGAGATGTTTTCCAACACAGCACACAACGTGCCTGTGCTTATTTTGCAGCATTTAAGTAAACAGCAGCAGCGCCATGTTTACAGAAGCACATTTTGCCTCCTTGCTGCCCCACAGCCCACTGAGCTGCTCTGGAGCCACAGCCGTGATGCTCAGCTGGTTTGCAGAGACCCACCTCCCTGGGTGCTCAATGTCACCCTTCCTTTCTTCTGGACTGGACCAGACCCCTAAACCCATCTCACCCATCTTATTTCCTCTTTAGCAAGCAGGCCCTCAAGGAAAGATGCCATTTTGGAGCTAAACTGAGGTGGTGGGAGAAGGGTAGGTGCAGCAATGCTGAGGGTAAAATCCACCAATAAAATTGGGAAAACAGTGGGCATTTAGCTGTGGCCACAGCGCTCCTTGTAACATCTCTGGTTTCATTCACACTAAGGGTATCTCCAGGTCTACCTGCAGAATCCACAGGTCATGGAGTTGGCTACAGCAGAGATGGACTGGAAGGGAGTCAGGCTGGTGGCTGGAGATCACAGAATCACAGGACTGTAAGGGACCTCTGGAGATCATCTCCTCCAACCCCCTGCCAGAGCAGGGTCACCCAGAGCAGGTTGCGCAGGAACATGTCCAGGCAAATTTTGACTATCTCTAGAGATGGAGACTCCACCACCTCTCTGGGCAGCCTCTTCCAGGGCTCTGCCACCCTCACAGCAAAGAAGTTCCTTTAGATGGAACTTTCTATGTTCCAGTTTGTGCCCGTTACCTCTAGTCCTGTCACCAGACACCACTGAAAAGAGACTGGCCCCATCCTCCTGACATCCACCCTTTAAGTATTTATAAGCATTTTAAGACTCCCCCTCAGTCTTTTCTTCTCCAGATTAAAAAGACCCATCAGCCTTTCCTCATCAGAAAGGTACTCTAGTCCCCTAATCATGTCTGTAGCCCTTGGCTGTCCCCTCTCCAGCAGTTCCCTGTCCTTCTGGAACTGGGGAGCCCAGAACTGGACCCAGTGCTCCAGATGGGGCCTTCCCAGGGCAGAGCAGAGGGACAGGATGACCTCCCTCCACCTGTTGGTCACACTCTTCTTGATGCACCCCAGGATGCCATTGACCTTCTTGGCCACAAGGGCACATTGCTGGTTCATCATCATCCTGTTGAGGTCCCTCATTAACTTCACAGGCCAATGTTTTGTGGTCATGGGCAATATGAGAGGTTTTAATGGATGACAAGTTGCCCGCAGCCCCGTAGATTAATTTAAGGACTAAATTCTTTCAAAGGTTCTTGCACTTCTTGAGAAGGAGAATCAAGAGGCTGAGTAATCTCATCTTCAGTAAAGCTCGGATGTCACGTCAGCACTCGGAAAACTGCTCTGCTTTTCCCCAGATCCCAGGGTGCTGGGTGTTGGTTTTTACAGAAAACATGGCCTCGGGTAACCTGATATAAACCATGAAGTGCTGAGCACTTATGACCATCATTGGCTGCTTACAAGGGGACTGAGCTGTTCTGAAAGCCCAGCCCAGATTATGGGTTTCAAATACTAGAAAATCTCTTAATCCAGTTTATGGGCTCATCACACAGATTATGGGTTTCAAATACTAGAAAATCTGTCCCTGAGCTCTTAATCCAGTTTATGGGCTCATCACGAATGGAGCTGAGCCATTCTTGGAAGGAAAACTTGGCAAAAGCAGTCTTTCTCCACTCTATCAGGAGAAACCGCATTCAAAGCTCAGGCCAACAAATCTAGATTGGGGAGTAATTAAAACCCGTAGCAGCCTCTCTGGATGGACCGCATTCAAAGCTCAGGCCAACAAATCTATATTGGGGAGTAATTAAAATCTGTAGCAGCCTCTCTGGATGAATAGAGGAAGCGGTGATTTCAGGGCAGCACCCAGAGCTAATTGCTCAGGAACAGGACCGACACCAAAACTCACCTCTCAGGTGGGTCTCCAGGTCACACACCTGGATGGGAGCTGAAAGCTCCTCGTCTCCAGTCGAGCTAGGCCTGCTGGTGCCAAAGAGCTGTCTTCTGCAGCCCTGCTGAAACCAGCAGGTTGTGTCTCCACACCATCGGTGCCTACAAACATCTTTTCCCTCAGCAGAGCAAGGGGAGAAGAGATCAATTCTCCTCTCCCAGCAACGTTACATCCACACAGCCCTACGGAGGTTAATAGAGTTGTTCTCCCCTTATTTATACTTAGTGGGAAGAAAAACAGACCTGAATGTGCCTATTCTTTTTTAAAAGCTCTCTTCTAACAATAGCTCTTTTTTCAGTAGCTTATTTACTGCCCATCTGTGACTCCCAAGCAAAATCTGTTCAGCTCTATATCTAGAAGACTTCCCCTTCGCAGCTAATCCTCAATGATCCTTGCTGTTCTCTGGCAGCCAGGCTGGATTCTCTCTCAATTGCCCACATCAATAAATCATACATTATCTATGCTTGAATTTGGTTAAGATTCTGGCTAATGATGCATGAGATAGAAGAAGACTCAGCTGATGTAGTCTTGCTTGTGCTCTCAGTGAAGCTGCTTGAAGTGGAAAAAATAGCTAAGATGGATTTTTGCCATTAAAAAAATCAACTTGTCTGATTTAGTGCCTGGGTAAGAGCAGATGCACTGATTAAAATCGTGATGCATTCGTGGAGTCTCACACATCAGCAAGGGAAATATGAAGTGGAAGAAGGGCCAAGAGAAGTATTTGCTGCAAATAGACCTGATGAGTGCCATAGGAGATGCGCTGTACAAACGCACGGGTGCAAGCAGAGAGCTGAGATGTTCCCCCAGGCCAGGAGACCTCAGGCGGTGCCAGATGTGCAGAGGCAGTGCTCTGCAGGACAACCTCTCCTCCCAGGCCTCTCGCCTTTTCTCTTTAGCTTAGCACCATCTAGAGGGATGCATCTGCAAACCCGAGGCCTCAGCTCTATGGTGCACATCTGGTACAGGATTCCATCCAGCTGAAACACATGGGGTTTGGAGTCAGGTGGAACCAAACCCTTGAAAACAAAGCACCAGAAGAACAGTTTGCTCCTCCAGCCACCTCCACTGTTTGTTAAAGCATGAGGTTGTGGTGCAATCACTCCCCTTGTCTGGGTGAGCTCTTGTGTGAAATGGAAAGGTGGGTTCTCCAGAGAGGATTGGAGTTTGGGGGAGGGAGGCTTAGGGGCAAAGGTCTGAAGGGTGATGGTCGGAGTTTGGGGGGGGTTCTTGAATTTTTTATATTTTTTTTGAAGACCTACGTATCTTGCATCACATAATCCTGCAGGCTCTGAGACATCTGATGATGAGATGGGGAATCCTCTGTGGCTTAGAGCAGAGGTCGTTCATCACGCCTTTCTCCAACAGCACAGAGCAGCGTGACAGGACACCAGCTGGGCTAGAGGTTTCTCTGCTGCATTTTACAGCTTTCAGCCCAACGTATCAGAGCTTACTCAAATCTCCTGACGTGGAACACCAGAACAAGACCGAGGGTGGGGTGGGGTGATGTTAGCTCCTGTCTCACACACTGATCTTGCATTTTCTTCTGCAGCAGCCCTTGCAGTCCCGTGAGACGCGATACCTACACTGCGTCAACCACCTCTCTGGTCCAACCTCATACAATCCCAAGGCAAGGCCATCAAAAACCAAAGTCCAACCTGCATGAATCAGTGAATGAGTGGTTTAGAGATATGAAGCATGTTGCTATGGTCAAAGGGCAAAGGAGAAGCTTTCAGAATTCACCTGACTTGGAGATTAAGGAATGCACGCTTAACAACAGGAAGTATAAATAACAGGAAAGTTTTGCAAAGGATGCACAAAACCTGGATTTTTTTTGGTTGCCGTGACCCTGAGGACAAACTCAAGCAGTGCTCTGGAGGTGGTATTGGGGAAGGACCCCAGAGAAACCAAGACCAACACTACTGCCTACAGCTTGTCTGCTAGGGATGTCACCCCGACCTTCCCCTGTGTACAACAGGATGTGGTATAAGAGGGTTTGAAGGTCTGGCTGGGGGAGGGAAGGACTTTCTCATCCCTGCAGTGTTCAGACAGTGGCAGGAAAGGAGACGAAATAATAGAATCACAGAATGGTTTGGGTTGGAAGGGACATTAAAGATCATTGAGTTCCAACCCCCTGCCCTGGGCAGGGACACCTCCCACCAGACCAGGTTGCTCCAAGCCCCCTCCAACCTGGCCTTGAACCCCTCCAGGGATGGGGCAGCCACAGCTTCTCTGGGCAACCTGGGCCAGGCTCTCACCACCCTCAGAGGGAAAAATTTCTTCCCCACATCTCATCTCCATCTCCCCTCTTTCATTTTGAAACCCTTCCCCCTCATCCTATTGCTACACTTCTTGACAAAGAATCTCTCCCCATCTTCCTGGAGCCCCTTGAGGGACTGGAAGGGGCTCCAAGGTCTCCCCAGAGCCTTCTCTTCTCCAGGCTGAACCCCCCCAACTCTCTCAGCCTGTCCTCACAGCAGAGGGGCTCCAACCCTCGGAGCATCTCCATGACCTCCTCTGGCCCCGTTCCAACAGGTCCACGTCCTTCTTACATTCCCTTTCTTCACCCCTGCTCCACACAAGCCCCGTGCAGGCTGCAGCCATCTTCTCCAGCACTGCTTAGAGATGGCAGCACACGGTGGACCTCCCCGCATCTCAAACCCAGGTCCTCCATCAGCCACAAAGCACCACCAGCAGCTCCCTCCAGCCAAGGCCAAGCCATGGCCAGCTCAAACCCCAGTGCCCCTGCCCATAGCTGGTGCTCAGGGTGCTTTCTCCATCCTGGGAGTCACGGGGATCCCAGTCCAGCACGGCACAGCCCTGCCCGGAGGCAGCACTGGGCTGAGCCTGCCTCCCCGCGCATGACCGGGCGTTACTGGAGCAACGTCCCCGCGGGACGGACGGAAGGAGGAAGCCAGGCTGTAAAGAAATAAAACCAACAGCAGCAGAACTGACAGCGAGAAGAGAGAGGGGAAGAGACAGGCTGGCTGGGAAGGACAGCTTTGCTGAGCCCGGGAGAAAATGGTTTGAGTAATTATCAACGGTAAGAAAACTTCTTGTTTGAGGCAGGAGAGCTTAGAGGGATTTCTGCACGGTTAATATTCTGCATATTTTACGGCGTTGCCTTGCCGGGGGAGAAAGGCTGGTGTCTGAGTGGTTTGAAGTACAGCCAGACATAGTAACTCTCTTTTAGCCTGCTAAATTCAGTCCCTTCCAGTTCCTCTGCTACTTCTGGCCACGATCCACCACGGGTCCAGCATGACCCCCAGCAGATCCTCCTCTGATGGGGATCCCCAGCTCGCAGGGAGGTCCAGCTGTGGTCTCGCTAGGGAGGTATTTTGGGGGTAGCTGGTGTTTTGCATTACTGCAGCGAGCAGATGGTCTGCCCTTTCTCCCCAGCCTGCCGCTATGTGGCCAGGAAGATTGGGACCCTGTGTGGCCGAGAGCTCCAGGAGCCACCATCCTGCCCGGCGCAGGCAGCCCCCCGTAGCCACCACCCAAGTAAGCCTCTGGGGACGGGGACATCCACACGTCACAGCCCCAGCTCTGCTGGGGACAGAGGGACCAGGGCTCGTGGGCTGGGGGTGGGACACCTCCTGTTGCTGCCCACTGTTTCAAACAAGCTGCTGCCCTGCCCATGGGGGAGATGTGTGAGGTCCCCATCCCTCCCTGCTTGTCCTCCAGCACCCATAGCCTCCCTCACAGCTGGGAGCTTTGCCTGAGGAAGAACCGTCACAGGTAGAAGTTGCAAAAGTTTGTTTTCTTTCCTGCTTTATCTTCCCTCGCTGGGTTTTGCCTTTAAATGTCATGGCTGCATCCCAGCCCCTGAGAGAGACGAGGAGCAAATACCAGCCTTTGGAAGGGGGGACAGAGTCCCTCTGGGGGTAATCAGAAGGGCAAGTGGATGGAACCTGCAGAAACAAGGCTTCCCCAGGGATAGGTCCCCCCAGGGCAATCTGCTATTCCAGGCACCCTGCTAAATACCAAAGTGCATTCACCACCCACCCCAACCAGCAGCCAGAGACCTTCTGTCCTTGCTCCCAATCTTCCCCAGCCCCTTCCCGCCCCATTAAAACGCAAAAACCACGATAACTTTGCAGATCACTCCTGTGATGTCTCCAGGAGTGATCTGCTCCTCCCGGCCACCCCCCATTCAGCATGGTGGGAATGATGAGGATTTTCCTGGCTCCTCATCCTCATCCTTTTCCCAGCCATGGGGACTGTTCCCAGTGAGGAGTTACCCCCGCGTTCCCCGGTGATGCTGCCAGGGCGTTACAGCTGGCTGTCCAAACGAAATCATTTTTCAACAGCAAACAGAGGAATCTCAGCACATGGGAAAGTCCTGCCCCGCCAATACCAGTTTCACTGGTTGGGCTGAGTCACTCCTGGTTGCTCTTGTCCAAACATGCCTCATGCTGTTCCCAGGCAGGAGCACATTCCCGGGCAGCTGCCACCAGAGCCAGGTCATGCCCCGTGGTCTCCTACCTCTGCCAGGAGCTTAAGGCTGTCTCAGGAGACGCAGAGAAGAGCCATTCCTTCTGCTGATCCCATGTACGATGGGGAAAATAGGACCTGCATGCCTAGGGGTGTCCTATAAAATCTTCAGAGTATCACCTTTCCCCTAAAAAAAACCAGCAGGATCCTTAGTGGAGGGGAGGAGGTGGGGAAAAAGGGAGGTCTCCTTTCACTAATGCCTTAATTAAGTGCATATGGAGGAAAAGCAGAGCATTAATCTGGCCTGCAATGGGAGCCAGGACTTTGTGGAGGCCACGGATGGGAAGAGCAGGGCAGGCACCTGGGCGTATCAGTGAGAGGACTCAACCTTCACCTTTGAGTCAAGCTCCTGCCCTGCAGTTAATTGCTGGGTGTTAATCGCCATCAGGGGAGCTGCCCCAATTGGCACCAGCAGAGGTGGTGCCAAGGAAGCACCTTTCTGGCAGGGTGGGCATGCTGGCCCCTTGGCCACTGTGGATGTGGGGGGGATGCACCTCTCTTTCTCATGGGGCACCCCACAGCTGTGAGCCCTGCAGCACCCCCAGGGAAAGCTGGCCCAGGACATGAGGAGCATCCAGCTCAGCAGAGCACGGATCCATTGGGAAACGCAGATGGTCTGGAGGCACCTGTGGTGCCCAGGTCACAGCTTGGAAACTGTGGAGCTTTATCCTCTCCTTGCAGCCCGGTGGGCTCTGCTGGAGATAAACCCTCTGTGTCATAAACCTGGCCCAACTCCCTCACACTTACCTGATGTTTCTTATGGTTTCCACCAGGAGGTTTTCTGAGCACCTTGCTAGTTCACACCCCAGCCTTGCCCCTCCAGGAATAATCTCTCCCCTTGGCTAATCCCAAATTCCCCTTTTTTCTCCCATGCTTGTGTGTTTGCAGATGTAAAGGCTGAGGTACCAGCAACCCCCCAAGCAAGTGCTTCGCTTCCCAGGAACAGCGGCCCCATCCAGGAGCAGCCCTGCAGGTCCTGAGGGTAAAAGCCCTCGTGGACCTCCCCTGGAGGCCACGAGCTTTCTTCCCACTGGTTTTCCCAGGGAATCCGTTTGCTGGGAATCCTGCAGCCCAGGGATTGGAAAATATCAGCAAATCCCTCCTGTACCTGTTCTCAACACAGAAGCACGACGACAGAAAATGTCCTGATCGGTCCCTCGTTACCAGAATTTTCTAAGTGGCAGGAAAAAAAAAAAAAAGGCTAATGTTTATCAGATGCTCCTGGCACTTTTGGGCCACAGAGCAGCAGGGGAGGAGCATGAGCCACTGCATCCGAGCAGCAAATTGGATTTTTATCCTGTGAAACCAAATTGTTCTCCCGATGGGATTGGTATGCATTCAGACAATTTCCAGGAAGGTAAAACCAGCTCCTGAGCCGGAGTAAGGAATCTTAGAGCTTAGGTCTGTGGAAATCCCATGATGTTTTGTACAACACCCCCTCTCTGTGCCCAGTAAGCCATCCCTACTGGGCAGCCAGCACCCCATAGTGATGTCCAGCACCCCCAGAGCAGAGGGAGCTGCAGGGACCACAGTCGGGTCCCCCCATCCAGTGACACCCCCCCCCAAGTCACAGAGAACAATGACAGCAGACTCACAAACTCCGCTGGCGCGGGGAGGAATCTGCCCGACCCCATCCTGTGACAGCCCCAGACGAACCAGAAATAAAGATGGATGAGAAGAGGCTGGCTGAGAGCGTGGTGGTTTTTTCCTCCGGGGAGGGCTTTGCTGTGGTTACGGTGTTTGAACAGCCCGATGCTCGGGATGGCACGTTGGCAGCAGCGGGGCTCGCTGCCCAGGCTTGCCCTGCTGCTCACGTAGGGAGAGATGGATCTTGTCTCCCCATTGCTGGTGACAGAAACAACAGGGGAGGGGGCAGAGCCATCCTGACCCCCCAGGGAGAGCTGGCTGTAAGCTCCTGCATCTCCAGGGCTGCCCTGAGTGATGGTTTGACCTTCAGTACCAAAGACTTTTCTGGTACAATATCACGTGAGGGGGAGATGCTCGGGGGGATGATGCTCAGGGGGATGATGGGACATACACAACTGAGGAATGTGCATAAACTAAGAATCTTGATTTTAAAAGCCTCCTGTCTTTGTGTGGGATCCATGCGGAGCCATGTTCAGGTGGGAGAGGCACAAGCCCTGCCCGGGAGGCTGTGGGTCTCTGCGGGAGATGGGGCAGGCTGGGAGGTGCAGAACAGACCCCAATCTCCTACGCATTCAGCCACAGCAAGGCTGGAAAACACAGACATTAGGATTCTTTATTCTCACCATCTCCACTTCCTAGGACAGCTATCACCACCAAAGCATGTGGTTAGGTGGTCAGGTAAACATCAGTGCACGCAGCCACCTGAAATTCATGGAAATGCCTGGCTCTGGGGACAGAGGAGGCCACCAGCAGTTCCTGGACCGTACAGCAGTTCTCCATTCATGGGCACTACCTGAGCACATCACCTCTTGCAGGCTTAAAGCTCTTCATTTCTCACTCCCTTAAGGTCTCCCAGCAAATGTGGAGGTCTCCTGCTCACCACCAGCAAACGCAATGGGAGGGGATGAGGAAAGGAAAACCAAAGGAAATCAGTCTGTCACAAAACGGAACTGAAAAGAAAGTCTAAAAATAGTCACGCTCCAGGATGCTCTACACAGTGCCCAGTGCCTTCTTTAAGGCCTCATCCCATGGATCATCAAGGTGTCCATCACCCTCCTCCCAGGGGAGGCAGCAGAAGTGCCAGGTACCGGGCACCATCCCAAGCTGGTTCTTCACTGGAAAGTTTGCCAAGTCACAAGCTGAGCCATTGTCCACGTCTGTCACAGGACAGAGCTCAACTGTCACCATAAGTGACACAAACATAACCCAGAGCAAACATCACATTTGCAACACTGCTCTGCACAGATTTTCCCTGTCCTCCTTGTACCAAAAAAACCCCTCAAATACTTCATATTTTGAAGGCATGGGGCTGGCACCTGCAGGTATTCCCCAGGGAAGAGCAGCAGGAAAATTCCTAAGGGATCTCCAGGCTGTCCCCAGCTTGTTTCTGACCTCCCAGAACAGCTTCTTCCCACCAAGCTGGTGGGCAAGCAGAAGGTCCCAAAGGCGAGCAGCTTCCTGGTGAGTGTCTTGGGTGTTTGATTTAGAGTCACACTTCCACCCGTTCATCTGGGTAAGTCCAGGATGAGCCATCACAGCCCTCTCCTCTGCCCCACAGCTTCTTCACGCTGCAGTGTATGGACAGCTTTTATTTCAGCCTTCCCCAGCCCCCTCTGGTCACCTGCCCATGAACCAGCCCTGGTGTGTGTTGAGCGCGGTGGTCTCGATGAACTGGCAGAGACAGGGCACGTTGCTCTGCTCCAGGTGTCCCCCTGCCATGGCCCGGGGGAGCTGGCCGGTGACCAGGAGCCGGACGTAGCATCCGCTGAAGATCACCAGGAGCTGCTGGGCCATCACCTGGAACGAGCACGAGAAGTGTCAAGAGCAGAGCATCAACCTGCAGGAAGCGTGGATGATGCATTAAAAATACCATTTTCTCCCTCCTTCAAGGACTGTCCTTGTCTGAAAGAAACAGGATGAGAGCCAAGGGTATATATAACTGTCCCAGATCCCCTTCTGGTCAGCAGTGCTGGCACACTGTCCCCACAGGGGAGTGACATGACATGACCCCTCGCCAGTGGGTGGCCAGGGAGCAGGCTGATGGAGACCTGCCTGCTCTGTCACTGCCTCCTGGTGCTTTTCTTTTTGCCTGTAGACAGCCAGAAAGCTTCAATCTGCAGGGACGTCACCTGCACTGAATTAGCTCAGTAACAGTAAGGGGAAAACTGTAAAATAAATCAAAATCATCCCTTTTGAAGCTTCTTGCTGAGCGGGAATGAGGACACATTTGTTGCTCAGCATGGCACAAGTCTTTGAAGGCATGTTCCATGGAGGAAACAAAGGCTGGGCAGGGCCATGTCTCATCCCCATCCCGGACACAGGCACTGGATCCCTGCATGGACCCTGGGAGGTTGTCTACCAAGCAGGGATCCCAGCCACCAGCAAGAAAAAGCCAAATCCATTAATTCCTCAAGGATTAAGCACCAGCTGCTCAGCAAACATTAACTGCTTAGCAGTGTCAGGGTTGGAGAAGGTGTTTGCAGACTTTCAGGCTTCCAGGTGCAAATGGGTGAAAAAGGAGGCGTCCCCACCTTGCTTTGTGGCTGCTGGGACAAGTTTTGGAGTCAAGGTTGGGTGGGAAATGATTTGGCACCTCTGTCCATTGGGGAGGGATGTTTCATTACCTCTGGTGGGCCCTCGGGAACGAGGCGGAGCAGCTCGTTGCACGTCACCCGCTCTTTATTTAGGTTCCCTCTACTGGATAAGAGAGGGGACTCTTCACACGAAGCCTCCTCCTCTGTCCCCGGATCGGGCTGAACCGCCGCCTCCATGACCACACAGAGCTGGTCCAGGCTGTGCCGCAAGCCCGACTGGAAGAGAAAGAGATTTTGGGGCATCTCCAAAGGCAGGAGCAATAGTGTCGTGAGGACAGTCTTTAAAGGGCATGATTTCCTCCTGCATGCTTTTTACTCCTGGGAATTACCACCCCAAGAGTCAAAACCAGCATTGGCCAAGAGCGCCTTCATTCCACAGCCCTGCTGCCATCAGCTGCTCCCAGCGAGATGGTCACAGCCCAGCACAGGGAATTTTGTCTTTAAAAACTATGAGTTCTGTCAGCCAATGCGCCAATCGGTGTGTTTCTGTCCATCCCCTCATCTGCCTCTGTTGGCTCATGCCATGAGATGAGCAGCCTTGAGGTTTTTGGAGGGTTGTGCCCCCTTCACCTCCCATCCCTCGGCCGTGCTCAGCCAGGGCACCTCAGTGCCAGAGAGCGTGGTGTTTGTGTGTTACACACCCACACAGGGGAAAACGTTTTCTGAAGGCCAAGAGGACAACATTTTTATACAGCTAACCCAGTCCAGCGTTTACTTGTCCCTCAGGCTATCACATTTATTTCAGGAGGACAGCACAAGGTGTCAGCTATTTCAAGTTGTGGCACGTGCTTTCAAATTTGCCCTTGACTCTTGATGACTTTCCTTTATTAAAGTTGTCTGGTTAATTATCCAGACACACACGTGCCACAGGGCTTAATGAACTGCACCAACAGGCGCAATTTATCCACCTCTCAGTCTGTCCAGCTCCCAGTTCACAGCAGGGGATGCCCAAGAGGACACTCAAACACTCAGTTCTCCTTGTCCACCTCCATCCCACCAAAGCAGGGACGTAGGGGTGGACCTACACGTGTCACCATAAGATCTTGGGCTGTGCCCGCTGTCACTTACCTCTCGTGTCCTCTGCAGGTCCATGATGTGGGCTGACAAGGACTGGAGGCAGCGCTCGGGGCTGAAGTGCACAAACCACAGCTGGGACAGGCAGGGTTAAGGAAGCATCTTTCCATGCTTCCTCCACCATCTTCATGCAGGTCATGGCACTGACCTCGCAGGAAGCGGAGCAAAGGCTGGTGGTGCCCATGGGATGCTCAATATGCAGGAACCAAATAACACATCGTGGGGCTAATTTTAAGCCAAGAAGGACTGGGCTATGGCGAAACTTCAAGGTAAAGGGGACGAGCAGAGGGGTGGCAGGGAAGGAGGACATTGCTCCAGAGGGCAGCCAGTCCTCCTTGTGCACCTCCTGCACCCTTGGGGGGGTGAAAACTGGGATAACTCAGGGCCATTGCCCATCACTCATCTCAATGGCCTTACATCTGTATAAGCTGGTGGGTCACCTTGACTTAACTCCCCAAAACTCCTTCCTCCTTTCTTTCATTTGTTTCTATGAATTCATCCTATTTATTTTTTTTGCAAAATTTACTGTACTTGGTGCTTGCCTTCAGGACAGAGGCACTGTTTGTGAAGAGCCTACCAAGAGCAACGTGTTGGGGATGCCAACTTTGAGAGCAGCAGCCCCCCAGGAAGCAGCCAAAGGTCTGCCCTTGTACATCTACTCAAGCTGCCATCATCAAGGTGATTCAGGAACAACATAAAAACTAGAAGGTTAGAACAGATCTGACATTGGAGCAGACTGAGAAATCGTAAATCCTTGGGTTGTTTTCTGTTCTCGGGCAGTCCTGGGACACATCAGTAGAGGTGACCTTGGATTAGTCCTCACTGAGGTGCAAAACTATGCTGGTCTGAACAAACGTGTAATTCAAGTTCTTGAGTGTTTCCTCCTCATTCTGCATGACTTCACCCCTGCCAGCTCTCCTGCGGTATTCCCTGCCCCCTTCTCTGACCCTCTGCTTCACCGTCGGTTCCCTCTCCATTTCTATTTTGTACCTCTCTGTATAGATGGGGTGGAGTGAGTTCTACCAGCAAGTCTGGGAGACCACCTCTATCACCTTCCAGTGACAATTTCATGCTGTCTTAAAACTCTCTTATTTCCCCTAAATCTTTGTCTAGTCCAGAACAGGTATCTCTATAAAGCAGCAAATGAGCTTCCCCCTACCTGGTGCCTTCAACCTGCATTTTTAACAGGCCATGAAGGTCAGAAGTGCTTGGCAGCTACAGACCTGTCTGCCAGGCACAGCCCCGTGAAATCAAGCTCTTTAACATGCCTGAAAGAGGAAGCCCAGGGCTACAAAATACCCAGGGAGGAGAGACACTTGGATGCTGTTGGCTTAGTTTGTCTCTGCAAGGCAGAACATGAGCTCTTGGGGATGGAAACTGGTTTTCTCTGTGCTGGGTTGATTTTTATTTGCCATAGGCACATTGCTGTCACTCTGCTTGTAATGAGAATCATCACTGTCATGTAAGTGTCATACACTTTCAGGAATAATTGCCTGCCCAAAGGACTAATCCCACTTCAGTCTTTTAGACTCATTATTTCATATTGCCTTTGGGCATGTCTCAATCTTCACTTACAGGAGAAATAAAAATACACAATCCCTCTTTCCATCCAATAGGTGAAAAGAAAAAAGCAAAAAAAAAAATCCAGAAATCAAACTCACTGGACATCCTCATGGATCAATAAATAACTCCATGTCATTAGCTACCCAGGAAGGGGTACAAATGATTCCCTACAGAAAGGATACTTGTAGGATGTTGTGTGGCCCGTCCAGGGCATCTGTAATCCCCAGTATTAAACTGTGTTTGATAAAGATTTCGTTGACGGCCGCCAGCCTCACATCTGTATTCATATTTATCTATTAGAGAATGCAGGAAAAATTAACACACTTTACAGCAAAGGTTGGGCCAGCCTACAGCTACAAACCACATCTGGATAATCCCAAATACCACATCTCTGGATGGAAAGCAGTGACAAGAGCAGTCTGTGATAGGCAGGATTGTCACCAGCCATCAGTGTCGGGCCAGCCACCGCTAGTGGATGTCTGTGGAGCCAGAGATCTCACCAAGGATTATTTCTTTTCTAGATGAGATGTCTGAAGTGGAGTCGACTTCCAGTACCATGATCTCTTTTCCTTTCCCAACAGTCCCTGAGTGAAGGACTCCTTTCCTGAACCTCTGTGCACCCACACGTTTGCCACGTTTCCCTTTGGAACAATCACTGCAATGCTGTGGTTAGAGACTTGCCCCAAAATCCACTCACAGCAGTGCAAAGACCCCTCTGGATTTTGAATCAAGCCTTTCCAATATTGATCTTCAGATCGCTCCTTAGAAATTTCCATACTCCTGTGATTCCTACAAACAAAACTTGACAACAACCAAGCAGTGGATGCTGGAGGATGGTTGGCTCTCATGTTAACATCATCTCTATGTTCTATGACTTTATTGCAGCTTCTCTGGGTTAGAATCATAGAATGATTTGGCTTGGAAAGGACCTTAAAGATCATCAAGTTCCAACTCCCTGCCCTGGGCAGGGACACCTCCCACTAGAGCAGGTTGCTCAAAGCCCCATCCGGCCTGGCCTCGAAGCTAGGAGCTGCCTTTTTGTCCAGAGCACCGCAGAGGCAAAATTAAACGATGCTATTAATGGCTGCACACAGCCAAGATTTCAAGGACTATCGTCAGGAGCAGGACAGGAGCCAGGTTTTCTGATGAGCCCCTGTGGCTTCCCACCAGCCGTGGGAGCATGAACCATGCTCTGCATTGGGTTGCGTTATCTCCAGCGACAGCAGGTGCTTTGAGCCCGCCTGCCGGGCTCCAGCACCTACTTTTTAGGCATTACAACATCTAACTTGGCTGTAAAACATCCCTTGCCTGAACCTGATCTCCAAGTCTGCAGTAAAAATATTCCCTTCCTCCCTGGATAAATGCGTTCTTCATACCTATCTAGGAGATGACCCGGGTCCCAGCTCTTTGGTGGGAGGGGGTCCTGCTCCCCGTGTGCCCACTGGCAAGTGGCCTCCTCTCACCTTCCTCTGGCGACGATCGATAACCAGTATCACAACCACAGTGACCACTACAGCAGCCAGGGTCACCAGCACGCTGGCCTCCCAGTAGCGTCCGAAGGAGCACAGCTGGACCGTGGAGTAAATGTTTGTCCAGAGAGACACGTAGAAAACCTATAAAAGCCCAGAGAGACTGATGGTACTCACAAAACTACGGAAGTGAGAAAAGTCAAGAGAGGAAGAAAACTACCAGGGTTAATACCTTGCCATAAATTCAGTCACGTGAGATTTTCAGAGGGTGAGAAAGGACAGAAGTTCCTTCCGATAATAAATAGCGGAAAGAAAGGAGTAGAAAAACTGAGCGAGCGCTAGTTTATTATAAAAAATTGCTGGTCATCAAAGACAGAGAGTGAATTATTAACAATGATTCATACCTAGGAAGGATTTCAACCGAGTTCTTCCATTTAGATAAGAAATGCACTCACTGAGGCATATTGATAATCCTTCTAATGGAGCCTGTATTTAGAAAGCTCCTATGTCAAAGCACTCAAGGTGCTGCAGAGACTACTCAATTACAGTAACGCTCAAATGGTGGACACAGACACGGGGCTCAAGGACTATCTTAAGGACTAACAAATATAAGGCACAAAGGCAAAACTGAATTCATTTGGCCTTTACTTCAGAAAGCATGGATTTGGGCAGGAGATAGCCTGAAAGCAAAGATGACATATGACACAGAGTGTCACAGCATCATCTGGCAATAATATAACTCATTTGCACTAAACAGGCACCAAAACCCTCAAAACACTGAGCACCAATTCCTACAATATTACTGAAAGGAGGAGAAGACACTTATAATGGTTTAAATGCAATTAAAATGAAGGAGTCAGATTTTATGACGCCCTCAGCACGCTGCAAAGTATCAACCTTACAGAAGATCACAGAATGGTCAGAGTTGGAAGGGACCTTAAAGATCATTGAGTTCCAACCCCCTGCCCTGGGCAGGGACACCTCCCACCAGACCAGGTTGCTCCAAGCCCCCTCCAACCTGGCCTTGAACCCCTCCAGGGATGGGGCAGCCACAGATTCTCTGGGCAACCTGGGCCAGGCTCTCACCACCCTCACAGCAAAGAATTTCTTTCTAGTATCTAATCTAAATCTCCCCTCTTTCAATTTAAAATCATTACCCCTCATCCTATCACTACATTCCCTGATAAAGAATCCCTCCCCACCTCTCCTGTAGCTCCCTTAAGGTACTGGAAGGCTGTTATAAGGTCTTTGGAGGAGCTTCCTCACCAGAAGCAGCCAAACAAGACCAGACAAGCAGCTCAGTATCCAAAGTTGACTGCTTCATTGGTGTGAATTAGCATCAGGACTAGAATATCTACAGATTTTTAAAATCAAGTTAAAAAAAGCACCTGGTGTAGGTAACACCACCTCAGCATATGCTGGTCATACAGCAAAGGACAACTCACTTCTGTGGGACTACCAGCAAGGGGTTGGAGAAGGTGCCTTGCCCTCCATTCTGTCAACTGGGATTTCCAAAGGAGCCTTAAGCTCACTAAGAGGTGTGAAAACCAGTATCCCTTCCCCATCCAACCCCATCTCCCTCCCTGGGCACAAGAACCCCAGTTGTTCTTGCATCTCAGCAAGCACGTGTCTATGACAACCCTGGGAGAGACCCCACCATCCTTACCACAGCGATGGCTATCTGGAACACCCTGGAGTTGTAGAACATGTACCGTCTCACTTCGGGAGTCAGGACAGCATCCTGGATCAACCTTCTCCACTCATCCGCTGCCACCTGCTCAGGGAGCAAACAGCAAAGTGGGGCCACCCACTCCAGTTTTGGGTCCACAGTCCCACCAGAACTAGCCTGGTCAGTCATCGTGGGGCCAAGGCTGTCAAAGCAACTCAAAATTCTGCGCCAGAGCACCCACACACACACAGAGACCTCCAGTCTCACCCATACAGCTGTCACAGACAAAAACTCATGTTCTTTCCTCATTTGCAGTGAGTAATATCTCCCTGGAAAGTGCAGGGAAAGTCACAAGAGAGAACCATCCTTTCATGACAAAGGACAAGACAAGACAGATTGTCCCAGGGATGTTCCATCCCATTAGAGTGACTTTCAAGCCACTCACTATGTTGAATGGGTTTCTTCATGGAGGTTTAAGCCAACTTCATTACAGTTGACTTGCAGTCCACGGGGAATAGACCAAAGTTGAACTGAAACAAGCCACTCAAACCAAAAACAAAAAGAAAAGCTGTCTGTGATGTGGGTGGAAACACAAACGATGCTGATCTGGGCAGCATTCACTCCTACAGGGTCCCAAGGGGAGATTACGTACAAGGAGCTTACCTGAACCCCAAGGGACTTCAGTTTCTCTGCACAAAGCTCCATGTCGAAGGAGGTGGCTGAGCAGTTGTTGTCCGTGCTGAGCACCATCAGCACCTGGCCATCGAGGGGTTCTGCAAGAGACAAAACGAGTCACGACATGGGTTTTTCCCCCAGCAGCTGAAGAGCACGTGGCGAAGGGAATGCTGAGGAACACAGACCACCCTGACATGTTTTAAATTGATCCAGAACCTCCCCTTGGTTCACAAGGAGCACATCACAAGGAGCTTTGGAAGCAGCCTGATGTCCCCTGTAAGGAAACAGCCTACAGAAAGGAAGGAAGCCCCAAACACATTCCAGGAGTGAATAGTCAGAGATAACATGAAGCCCTGATCTTCAACAGAGTAATGTCTTGCCTCACTGATCCCTAACTGAAAGGACAATGGACTCAAGCTGCGCGGTGTGCTTAGGTTATCTGCCTCTTAGAGAGGTGTCCCATTGCCTACCCACCTCACCCATCACGAGGAAAAGCTTGAGTGATCAAATTAAAGTGTTTGCCAATAATCACATTGTCCAAGATGTCACAGGGCTGCATGGGAGCATGAGCCTGATAGGTCCTCCAGAGTCAAGGTCCCCGCTCCAGCAGTGCTCCTGGGCAGCATGGCTCTGCTCAGCCCTCTCAGCTTCCCAGTTTCAGCCCAGGCTGGGATCAGAGACACAATCTAGAGACCCAAGCTGCGGCCAGGAGCCTAGAAAGTGTGAAGACATCCTGTCCTAGATTTGAGGAGCAGGCTGCTTGAAGCCGAGGCAGATCAGGAGGCTGTGGCACAGGAGAGCTGTGATCTCCAGGCATCTCATCTGCCATTCATCTAGAGTTTACACAAGCTGTGCTATGTCAAGAGGAAGAGATTGGGTCTAAGGAAGTGCCTTGTTCAGGTGGGATCTTGTTTCACTGAAATGTTTCACCTGGCTTTCCTTCCCCTTTGCAGATCCGGGGTCAGCCTGGTGTCCCCTGGGAGGACATCTCACTGAAATGCCACTTAGTGCTCTCCCAGCTGGCTGTGCACAGCGTGCACTCACTTTTCCCTTCTCTCCCACTTACGTCCTCCATCCTCATCATCTCTTCACTGCTCAGGAGCAGGAGACGCCAAGCGAAAGAGGGCAATTACATTACAGCAGGGGCATCATCTCTTCACTGCTCAGGAGCAGGAGATGCCAAGCGAAAGAGGGCTTTACAGCATTACAGCAGGGAGTGACCGCATCGAGTCAAAAAGGGAAGAGCAGATGCATCTGAAACCTCCAGGATAACAAGGTCCTGTTTGTTTGCTGAGGTTTATCTCCTCCTGACACAGGGCAGTGGAGGCGGTGAGTGTAAAGCAAGAATAAAAACAAATGATTGGGCTCGGATCTCCTGTTCTCCATGGCTTTGGTCAAGTTTGGCACAGAGTTTGGTAAGTTGGGTGCCAGGCTGAGACCCCCGAGATGTGCAGAGGGGCTCAGCTCCTTGACCTCTGCTGGAGCGACAAGAGCTGCTTTGCCCCTGCAAAACCTGAGCTTTGAGGAGGTGCCGGGGGCTGAGCAAGCAAAAAGGGGTGCCCTGGTGAATGGTGGGTGGAGGTCTTGGTAAGAAGAGCCATCCCTGGCACTGCCCTCTCTCTCTGCACAGTATCTCAGGTGGTTTCAGGAACGGTGCTGCAGAGAGGGAGCAAACTATTACTGGGGAAGGGGGTCACTTGGGAAGCACAAGCCCAGATTCCCAAAGATTTCTTGACTTTTGAAGGCCAAGAGGACTTCCAGGGTCCTGGTTTTCAATAGGTGGATGTCCGTTCATTCCTGTGTACCGGGCTTTCCAAAAAAGTCAAAGTGTCTCCATCCCTCCCCCAAAAAACGCTGCAATATCCATAATGTTTAGTTACTTTTGCAAATGAGATGCTGTTAATGAGCATCTTTGAAAAAAATCTGTCCTCTGGTATTTTAAGGGCCCCGTACTCAGCACCACCTTCCTCCTCATGAGAGGGCTCCCTTACCTTTCACCCACTGCAGGGATCCTTCCTTCAGATCACTCTTACAGAAGAGGATGGAAGAGAGAGACCCCTTTTTCTCAGTTCCACCAGCTTGGGGTTTATGGGCCATGCTGAAGGTGCCTCTCTTTGAGGGACTCTGTGTCGGATTGTCAGAAATTCAGCGCTTTCTATATCCACCTTGTCTTCCACCGCCAAGAAACACCGATTCAGCCCCAAAGCAGCCGCTTGCATCCACCTTGCCTTCCACCGCCAAGAAACACCGATTCAGCCCCAAAGCAGGCGCTTGCTCTCCTCACTGGGGAGAAAATTGCGAAATCCTCATTCACGCTCCCGCCGACAACTTGCTTGAGATCCTGCTTTCCACGAGCGGGGAGGCATTTTCCAGCCCTGAAAAGAGGAAAAAAGAAAATCCCGTGTGTTGCAGAGACTGTAAATGAAGGGGAACATCCCCTCTGCTCTTTGGACCCCGCTCCCCGAGGATGTTATCACCAGGTGGGTGTCAGCCAGCCGCAGGCGCAGCATGCACAGTCTCACCTTTCACTGCCATTACCTTTTATTTTCACAGAATCACAGAGTCTTCTAGGTTGGAAGGGACCTTAAAGATCATCTTGTCCAACTGTCAACCTAACTGACAAAAATAGTCACCCACACAACAAACAAGGAGCATCATCACTAAACCAGACCTCCCAGCACTACATCAACCCGTCTTTTGAACACCTCCAGGGATGGGGCCTCAACCACCTCCCTGGGCAGCCCATTCCAATGCCTGAGAACCCTTTCAGTGAAAAAATTTTTCCTAATATCCAGCCTGAACCTCCCCTGGCGCAACTTGAGGCCATTTCCTCTTGTCCTGTCGCCTGTGACTTGAGAAAAGAGACCGACCCCCATCTCTCTACACCCTCCTTTCAGGGAGTTGTAGAGAGCAATAAGGTCTCCCCTCAGCCTCCTCTTCTCCAGGCTGAATAACCCCAGTTCCCTCAGCCTCTCCTCATAAGACTTATTCTCCAGACCCCTCACCATCTTTTTTAACTTAATAGGTGGAAAATTTACCCATAAACATTCCTTGAATTATCCCGATGTCCTGAAATATCCAGATTTTGTAAAAAGTTAGTCGAAGGATAAGCAGGTTTCCTCCTTGCGAAGCCAGAAGGCTTTTTGCTGGCACCTTCAGGAGAAAGGAGGGCTCCCTCCCTCCCGGCAGCCACGGCGGGTGATTCCCCACGGCACCGAGGAGTCGGTGCAGGTGGAGGAAGAAAAACGCACCCACTGAAGGCAGGGACAAGCAGGAGCTCTCACCCCACATCGGCGAAGCCTTTGAGGGTCCCTCCTGTCCTTCCCCCCCCTCTTCTCTCCGCCACCGGCACCGCGAGATGCCAACAGGGCACGTCCCTGCGGCGGGCACCCTGCCCACGGGTTTTCCAGGCAAAGGTTGCTGACGTAGGTCTCCAACCTCCTGCCAGCATCCGCCAGTTATTAAAGCAAATGCTTGGAAGGCTCTGAAGTTTACTTTTCAATTATCTTCCACTCCCGCGGCTCCGCTGCGTCCGCGCTGGCTCTTCCAAAACTATCATTTGCTTTTTCACCTCTGCTCTGTCTGTCTTTTGCACCAGGAGCCTGCTGCTCTCTCTTGGTGTAAAGGTCCCTCAGGGTCCTTCCAAAGAGTGTTGCTTTATTTGTGACTGATGGTGGTTTCTGCAATTACCCCCCTCCTTGCACAAAGCCAGGATGGTCACTGGTGGGGGGACTGTCAGGAAGGAAAATGAGGCAAGAGAAACACAAAAGGCTCTCCTGATTGCAGAAAAAAACCCACAGAAGGCTGAAAACTCATACTTAAAGGAATGAAGCCGTGGCACACGTAGCACAAGAGGTGTGCAATGTGTGTGTGTGTACATGTGATGAACACAACACCCACTCTTCATCACCAGTGAGGTGAGGAGAAGTTCTGCTGTACATTGAGCAGGGCTCTTCCAGAGCCATTTCCTTGCAGAGCAGGGGCAGACACGTGTCACCAAGCACCTCTCCCGGCACCGAAAGGTGGATTCACACACTGAGATTTCTCACTCCTTTCCCCTTTTGCCATCAACCTCTTCAGGTTAGCGTCAAACAGGAGAGAAAATGAAAAAAAAGGACAGAAAAGACCGTGCAAACCAGCAGCAGAGAGTGAAAAACCAGCTGGAAAAAAAAGGAAAACCTAATTAAAACCTACCACCCTGTCATTGCTGCTGTCACGTTAAGTTAGAGGTGAGTCAAGGCTCTCTGGTGTGGATGTGGAGAATTTTGAGTCCCTGGAGGACAGTCCCCAGAAAGGGACAGAGGGTCAGGGCAGCTCAGCCCGTCCCAGGGCTACGGGAGGGAAAGACCCTTCCCCTGCCAGGACCAGTTTGGCAGAAGAAGGAGCTTTGCTTTCACCACTTCGTGCAGCACAGACTCCTTTGGCTCCGCTGCCTTTTACTGCAAAACGACTGCCCATTTTTAGAGATCAGCCCCCCCAAAACTTTCCTCTGCCTCCTGCTGTGCTAACACAAGGGACACTGTCTCCTCTGCGCTCCCCAGGCTCTCTGTCTCTATGTCTCTTCTTATTCTTCATGCATCGCCAACATCCCTCTGGTGACTTTGCCTCCTTCAGGCCACGGACATTCCTTTCAGGACACCTCCAATCTCTGGCCAAACAGCAGAGAATCATAGAATGGTTTGGGTGGGAAGGGACCTTAAAGACCATCCAGTGCCACCCCCTGCCCTGGGCAGGGACACCTCCCACCACACCAGGTTGCTCCAAGCCCCCTCCAACCTGGCCTTGAACCCCTCCAGGGATGGGGCAGCCACAGCTTCTCTGGGCAACCTGGGCCAGGCTCTCACCACCCTCAGAGGGAAAAATTTCTTCCCCACATCTCATCTCCATCTCCCCTCTTTCAGTTTGAAACCCTTCCCCCTCGTCCTATGGCTCCCCTCCCTGATCCAGAGTCCCTCCCCATCTCTCCTGGAGCCCCTTGAGGGACTAGAAGGGACTCTAAGGTCTCCCCGGAGCCTTCTCTTCTCCAGGCTGAGCACCCCCAACTCGCTCATCCTGTCTTCATAGGAGCCCTCTGATCATCTTTTTGGCCCTCCACTGGACCGGCTCCAACAGGCTCATGTCCATCCTACCCAGCAAGTTCCATGTCCAGAGCAGTTGGCAGAGGCTTACCTGGTCCAGCTCACCTCCTGCTGCTGGGAAGGCAGCTCAGCTCCCTCCTCCTCCTCCTCACGGTCTTTTATCTACCATCAACCCACTCTGCACCTCCCAGGCGCCTCAATGTCCCACCACAGGGAGGGGAGGTCTCTGGTCCCCCAGCCCCAACCTGCGTGGAGAAGGTCGCTCTCTTCCTTGCATCTCCTGGGCACCAAGGACTAAGCCGGCGCAGCTCAGATGAGGCAAAAAGCCTCCACACCCCCACGCTACCTCTCATCACCCCAAGCTGCAAGCACCGACTTGCAAAATCTCCCTGGCACATGTGACTTTTCCCCCCCCCGGGCTGGTGTCAGAAGAGTGGTTTTAACCCTCTAGAGTTCCTCAAAAGCGTTTCCCCACTGGGCGCGGCCGTTGGGAGGAGATCCCACCACCGGTGTCATCCTCACCTTTCACAGGGTGGGGGTCCAGAGCTGGAGCAAGCTAAAGGTTGGGAAGAGCTGAAAAGCAGTGCAGACGGAAGGCTGTCCTCCTCCTCCTCTTCCTCCTCCTCCTCCTCCTCAATGTGCTGGGCAGGACTCAAGAAATCCCAAGGTTGCAAGGATGCATGTGAATGTTATCAGGAACAGCCAAGCATCGACGACAGGGCTGGGGGAACCAGAAGAGGTGAAGGAACATCTCAAGGTTAAGAAAGGGTGACTGCATATTTAGCAAAAAAGTTGTGTTAAAGCACAGAGACACAGAGAGAACATCCGGGGGGGGGTGGGGAGGGGAGGAAGTGTAACCCGAGAGAGAGGGTGGAAGTTTCCTCTCCAGCTGCTGTGCTCCAAAGAAAAGCAGTGGGCTCGGAGACAGGGTCAGAGAGACCCCCCCAGAGCAGCTTCACCTGCTGGGGACACCATCCCTTTCATGCAGGGATGATGCCAAGAGGGACCACAGGAGAAAAGACTCCTTCACCTGGGAATCATGGTTTGATGGCTCACCGAAAGCTAGAGGATCCGTGAAGGCTGGGAGCTGAGTGAGTCGAGTGTCTCAGTGACTGCTAGAATTAGCAAATAGTTAAAAAAAAAAAAAAGGAGAAAAAAAAAGAAAAGGTTTCATTGCAGTTCTTGTGCTCACTTCCTGGAGAAAACGCCGTACTTCTGGTGGAGGGATGGATTTCCACAGCCCTGCTGGCTGCAGACATGGCTGAGCAATGGGCTCATCACACCACGTGGCTGCGTGGGGAGCAGAGCTGCCTCCAAAACCACTTACCCACACGGGAGCTCGTTACGCTTGGAAAACTGGCAACTCCCATCGTCACGTCGTCCAGGTATTGAGAAAAATCAGATAAATCCTCTGGCTGGTGTCATTAGCTCCAGGCCCAGCTCAAACCCCCGCCCAAGATAGGGCCACGCAAAGCTCCGAGGTTCTTTTGCAAACCCTCCTCATCAAAAGTTTTGGCTTCTCTTCCTCCTCCTCCTCGCCCCTGCGAGGATCCTGACAGAGGGAGAACGCGGTGACCGGAGTGCTTCGAAAGAGCACTGTCAGCTCCCCGCCAAAAAAAACACCCCAGGCAAACCTCTTGGGGAGGAGAGGGGAGGAGGGGGCAATAAACTTGAAAGCAACGCTCATAATTACCCTGCTCATAATTACCCACAGCGCAGACACCGTACACCTCTCGTTTAGCAAGACGTGCGTGTACGGGCTGATCTTGGCACCAGCACCTCATCCCAGCAGCACCAGGAGAAAAGCCCTGCTCCTTTGGGAGGGGTGTTGGGGTGGGGGAAAAAAAAAAGGAAAAGAAAAAAGAAGAGAAAAAAGAAGAGAAAAAAGAAGAGAAAAAAGAAGAGAAAAAAGAAGAGAAAAAAGAAGAGAAAAAAGAAGAGAAAAAAGAAGAGAAAAAAGAAGAGAAAAAAGAAGAGAAAAAAGAAGAGAAAAAAGAAGAGAAAAAAGAAGAGAAAAAAGAAGAGAAAAAAGAAGAGAAAAAAGAAGAGAAAAAAGAAGAGAAAAAAGAAGAGAAAAAAGAAGAGAAAAAAGAAGAGAAAAAAGAAGAGAAAAAAGAAGAGAAAAAAGAAGAG